ATCTATGTATGCATTGAAATGTTTTAAAATTCAAGTTGAGTTTTGAATTATTATGTACTATTATTCACTGAGCTTCGCTCACTTTGTGTTATGTCTGTTCTGTAGGTAATCACTTGGGAGTCCGTCTTAACCCTTAATGCTCACCTTTCAGTTGTGAACCTCAGTGTGCACAGGCACCCAAACCAAGCTCATGCATTTTTGTGAAGTGTTGTTAAGATTTTGGCTTACACTTTAATTATTTACCTAAGGTTAAAATGTATGTATATGACCCATTTCTTTACCAAAATTCGGTCATGCGCTTCATTATGTGTATGGGTATGTATATAGATAGATGGCTTTCACGTATGTGATCCAGGCATGTTAGTTTTAGCTCAATGGATGTTATTCTACATTAATTTGTAATATTCATTGCTTCCGTTCAGGCCCCATATATTATGTATATCAGGTTAAGTGTCCGTTTCTGCTTAGGTCATGCCCGAACTTTTAGGGGCGAGTTTGGGGGCGTGACAATTAGTGTTTAAACACTCGGACACTTATTCGGACCCTCTTGCATGATGGCAAATATGTAATTATGGTGTTTATTCGCCATTTCTCATGCATTAGGGTTTCAACACTCGTACACTTATTCGGACCCTCTTGCATGATGGCAGATATGTAATTACGGTGTTCACTTGCCATTTCTCATGCATTAGGGTTTAAACACTCGGACACTTATTCTGACCCTTTTGCATGATGGCAGATATGTAATTATTGTATTTATTTGCCATTTCTCATGCATTAGGGTTTAAATAATCGGACACTTATTCGGACCCTCTTGCATGATGGCAGATATGTAATTATGGTGTTTACTTGCCATTTCTCATGCATTAGGGGCTTAAACACTCGGACACTTATTCAGACCCTCCTGCATGACGGCAGATATGTAATTATGGTGTTTATTTGCCATTTCGCACGCATTAGGGCTTAAACACTCGGACACTTATCAGACCCTCTTGCATGATGGCAGATATGTAATTAGGGTGTTTAGTTGCCATTTCTCATGCATTAGGGTGTAAACACTCGGACACTTATTCGGACCCACTTGATTGATGGCAGATATGTAATTATGATGTTTATTTGTCATTTCTCATGCATTAGGGTTTGAACACTCAGACACTTATTCGGACCCTCTTGCATGATGGCAAATATGTAGTTATGGTGTTTACTTGCCATTTCTTGAGTATTAGGATTCAAAAATTTGGTCACTTAATCGGATCCCCTTGCATGATGGAAGATATGTAAGTATGGTGTTTATTTGCCATTTCTCATGCATTAGGGTTTCAACACTCAGACATTTGTTCGGACCCTCTTGCATGATGGAAAATATGTAATTATGGTGTTTACTTGCCATTTCTCATACATTAGGGTTTAAACACACAGACACTTATTCAGACCCTCTTGCATGATGGCAGATATGTAATTATGGTGTTTACTTGCCATTTCTCATGCATTAGGGTTTAAACACTTGGACATTTTTTCGGACCCTCTTACATGATGGCAGATATGTACTTATGGTGTTTATTTGCCATTTCTCATGCATTAGGGTTTAAATACTTGGATACTTATTTGGACCCTCTTGCATGACGGCAGATATGTAATTCTGGTGCTTATTTTTCGTTTCTCATGCATTAGGGTTTAAACACTCGGACAGTTATTCGGACCCTCTTGCATGATGGCAGTGATGTAATTATGGTGTTTATTTGCCATTTCTCATGCATTAGGTTTTCAACACTCGGACACTTATTCGGACCCTCTTGCATGACGGCAGATATGTAATGATGGTGTTCACTTGCCATTTCTCATGCATTAGGGTTTAAACACTTGGACACTTATTCGGACCCTCTTGCATGATGGCAGATATGTTATTATTGTATTTATTTGCCATTTCTCATGCATTAGGACTTAAATAATCGGACACTTATTCGGACCCTCTTGCATGATGGCAGATATGTAATTATGGTGTTTACTTGCAATTTCTCAGCCATTAGTGCTTAAACACTCGGACACTTATTCGGACCCTCCTACATGACGGCAGATATGTAATTTTGGTGTTTATTTGCCATTTCTCACGCATTAGGGTTTAAACACTCGGACACTTATTCGGACCCTCTTGCATTATGGCAGATATGTAATTAGGCTGTTTAGTTGCCATTTCTCATGCATTAGGGTTTAAACACTCGGACACTTATTCGGACCCTCTTGATTGATGGCAGATATGTAATTATGCTGTTTATTTGCCATTTCTCATGCATTGGGGTTTGGACACTCAGACACTTATTGAGACCCTCTTGCATGATGGCAGATACGTTGTTATGGTGTTTATTTTCCATTTCTTGAGTATTAGGATTCAAAAATTTGGTCACTTAATCGGATCCTCTTGCGTGATGGAAGATATGTAAGTATGGTATTTATTTGCCATTTCTCTCGCATTAGGGTTTCAACACTCGGACACTTGTTCGGACCCTCTTGTATGATGGCAAATCTGTAATTATGGTGTTTACTTGCCAGTTCTCATACATTACGGTTTAAACACACGGACACTTATTCAGACCCTCCTACATGATGGCAGATATGTAATTATGGTGTTTACTTGCCATTTCTCTTGCATTAGGGATTAAACACTCGGACACTTATTCGGACCCTCTTGCATGATGGCAGGTATGTAATTACGGTATTTATTTGCTATTTCTCATGCATTAGGGTTTAAATACTAGGACACTTATTCGGACCCTCTTGCATGATGGCAGATATGTCATTATGGTGTTTACTTGCCATTTCTCGTGCATTGGGGCTTAAACACTCGGACACTTATTCGGACCCTCTTGCATGATGGCAGATATGTAATTATGGTGTTTACTTGCCATTTCTCATGCATTAGGGTTTCAACACTTGGACACTTATTCAGACCCTCTTGCATGATGGCAGATATGTAATTATGGTGTTCACTTGCCATTTCTCTTGCATTAGGGTTTTAACGCTCGGACACTTATTCGGACCCTCTTGCATGATGGCAGATATGTAATTATTGTATTTATTTGCCATTTCTCATGCATTAGGGTTTAAATACTCGGACACTTATTCGGACCCTCTTGCATGATGGCAGATATGTCATTATGGTGTTTACTTGCCATTTCTCATGGATTAGGGCTTAAACACTCGGACACTTATTCGGACCCTCTTGCATGATGGCAGATATGTAATTATGGTGTTTACTTGCCATTTCTCATGCATTTGGGTTTCAACACTCGGACACTTATCCGGACCCTCTTGCATGATGGCAGACATGTAATTATGGTGTTCGCTTGCCATTTCTCATGCATTAGGGTTTAAACACCCGGACACTTATCCGGACCCTCTTGCATGATGGCAGATATGTAATCATTGTATTTAGTTGCCATTTCTCATGCATTAGGGTTTAAATAATCGGACAGTTATTCAGACCCTCTTGCATGATGGCAGATAATTATGGTGTTCACTTGCCATTTCTCATGCACTAGGGCTTAAACACTCGGACACTTATTCGGACCCTCGTACATGACGGCAGATATGTAATTATGGTCTTTATTTTCCATTTCTCACGCATTAGGGTTTAAACACTCGGACACTTATTCTGACCCTCTTGCATGATGGGAGATATGTAATTAGGGTGTTTAGTTGTCGTTTCTCATGCATTAGGGTTTCAACACTCGGACACTTTTTTGGACCCTCTTGCATGATGGCAGATATGTAATTATGGTGTTCACTTGCCATTTCTCATGCATTAGGGTTTAAAGACTCGGACACTTATACGGACCCTCTTGCATGATGGCAGATATGTAATTATGGTATTTATTTGCCATTTCTCATGCATTAGGGTTTAAATACTCGGACACTTATTCAGACCCTCTTGCATGATGGCAGATATGTAATTATGGTGTTTATTTTCCATTTCTCACACATTAGGGCTTAAACACTCGGATACTTATTCGGACCCTCTTGCGCGATGGCAGATATGTAATTGTGGTGTTTATTTGTCATTTCTCATGCATTAGGTTTTCAACACTCGGACACTTATTCAGACCCTCTTGCATGATCGCAGATATGTAATTATGGTGTTTACTTGCCGTTTCTCAGGCATTAGGGTTTAAACACTCGGACACTTATTCGGACCCTCTTCCATGATGGCAGATATGTAATTATGGTATTTATTTGCCATTTCTCATGCATTAGGGTTTAAATACTCGGATACTTATTCGGACCCTCTTGCATGATGGCAGATATCACTACAAGAAATTGCATTTTTCGCAACGTAACAAAATATGTTGCTAAAAGGAAAAATTCGTTGGCAAAGAGTTTTGCCGACACACAAAGCTACGTTGGCAACGCGTAGGCAAAAGTGAGTTGGCAAAAGTTTTTGCCGACGAAATTATCATTGCGTTGGTAAAACTAATGCCTTTAGCGACGAACATAGTCGTTGATAAAAGCCTTCATCCATCGTCGGCAATTTACCTTGCGTTGGTAAAAGTCATTTAAATATGATGATTATGTGGCACTTTTCGCAACACAAATTTGCATGGGCAAAAAATATACTTTTACCAACAACATATGCGTCGGCAAAAGTAAACTTTTGGCGACACATTTACGTCGGTAAATGTTACCATTTGCCGACGATTTGTTTGTCGCTAAACCTTCACTTTTGGCAACGACAAATTGGCATTGGAAAAAAATACACTTCTACCAACACAATATGAGTGGGCAAAAGTAACTTTTAGCGACACATTTACGTCGGTAAATGTTACCATTTGCCAACGATTTGGTTGTCGATAAAGCTTTAGTTTTGGCAATGACAAATTGGCATTGGCAAAAAATACACTTTTAGCAACACAATATAAGTGGGCAAAAATAAACTTTTGGCTACACATTTACCGATAAGTTGTTTGTCGAGAAAGCTTTACTTTTTGGTAACGACAAATTTGTAACGGCAAAAAAAATTGAAAATCATATATATATATATTTTTATATGATTTACATATTTACAAGAGGCATCCCTCAGGCACTACTATTACAAACTAATAACATTAATATTAAATCACCTAAAGTTAATGTGTAGGCAAAAAAACGCTGCTAAAAAATATGCTTTTGGAAGCGTTGTATAAAACCTAAAAGGATAAACTCACTAAAATACTCAAATACATCCAAATTGTGAACACATGGTAAAAATAGCAGATAACAAAATGAAATCATGAAACTAACAACAACCCAAATTTGCAGCAAACCAGCATCTAGTAGTAGCCCGCTTCACAGCAACATTGCAATTGCAGCAGCAGCAGCCCAGCAAAATTTTGCAGTAGCGCACCGGCAGCAGCAGCAGCAGCAACAGAAACAGACCAGCAGAATTAAAGATGAAGAACATCTAAGCAACAAGGCAATCACTATTGTAGTGTGTTACCGAGTGGAAGCAGTAAAGATGAAACCATATTTTTTTTCTTTTGGTAACAAAAATTGAATTTCAACGCAATCACTATTATTGTAGTTAAACAATAATTCTATATTTAGAATTTAGTATGTTCAAATTTGTAAATCTACAGTTACAAGGATAGATGCTTGTGATGCAAATTTACTTTTAACAGATGATGGGACCACAATACTTTTAAAATCTTCATGCGACAAATAAGTAAACAGTGGAAGGAAAGCTTCACTGAGACCCATTGTTGGCTTTTCTTTTGCATTCAGAACTAATTTAACATACATATCAAGAAATGTTGGTTGTGCAACAAAAAGCAATCAATCAAAACACTAGCTAGAGGGACATTAAATATAAGTGCAACATAAAATCCGAAATCGCAGGACCCGACATAACATTAACATCATGTTTGACAACATTGATAATTTTAGTGCCATTTTAGTATTACTAAACACTGTCAGCATCCAAATTTATAGAATTTCAAAATGTAATGGTTAATTTGGCACTTGAAATTAGAATTTAAATCATATTTCATTTAGCATGTTCATCATGTTGTGCAAAGTCAAGTTTCTCTATCTTAAAAATTAGACCCCCTCTTTAATGGATTTTATTCTTTAATTAGTAACTAATTTTGCATTACCAAATTGCACTCAATAGAGGAAGCTCCAAAATTTATCATTTTTCAGCACTAGATAGGGTCATTAATAGCCCAAAAGAATATTGTTGCTGATACAACAGCTAAAAGAAAAGAGCTTCTTACCTTCCATTGATCAAATAAAGAAGGACTTGAACTTGAAAATTCCAGCAAAAGCCCCAACAGTTCCGGGCTATCTTTGTATGGGATCCTCACATCCTTTAGTTCTGCAATGTAGGTTTTGTAGATTTATGATGACTGAAAAAATTAAAAATATAAAATGCATAAGAAATTTAGAACTAGAAACCCATAAAAATGATTTAATCAAAACTGGAAAAATGTTAGAGGGGTAAACCTCTGAGAACAAACGAAAAAATGTTCGTTTGCAAGCCCTTCTCTCACGAAAAGATCCTTGAATAACAATATGAAGAAGTGATGCCTGCACTGCAGCCACTCTGTAAAATGCATTCTTTGATACTTAAGCAAATTGACTCTTGCTTAGTAGAAGACACGACCACTTGAGAAGTCTGTAGCAGGCTACATGAGACTGCAATTTTATTTGCTTTTCCATGACCTGTACAACGGTTGCCGCAAAACTCTTCATAAATGTAACTTCGCCCAAAGCTTTTGTGATCACATCATCAACAGCTTTCCTTCCTCGATCATCATAAATACAAAATGTTTTGAAAATCATATCTACCAATACTGACACAAGCTCAAAAGACATCTCTGCAAAGTTAAAAATGGAGACTACAACCATAAGCTCAGAACAGAAGCATCTGTGAATCACATTTCAAAGTAAAGCATGCAAAAAGATTAGCCAAGTACGTTAGGTAGGTTCAATGAAATTTGCATTTGTTCTAATAAATATGGAATACCAAAATCATTATTCAGGGCACCATGGGAATACTTAAAAAAAAAAATTGAAAAAAAACAAAGAAAAAGAAACTAAATTGCTAGTTTTGAGACTTAAGTATTGAAGATATAGCGACCTCGGTCTATTTCCTTTAGATTATTGTATCCGGACTTAGGTTCCATAGATCCTATCAGTATATATTGGTTGTTGTCGTCCTTTAATCTCTTTGTATTTGAGTTATAGGATGTGTTGGGCAGGTCTGTTACAGGTCGGTTGAGTTTAGATGCCAAAACTAGTTGCCCAGATTTTGACCTGTCCGCTCGAGCGGGAGTTTGACACTCGAGCGAGGATTCTTTTGTTGCTTGTACGCTCGAGCGGGGGTTTTGGTGCTCGAGCGGGATTATCACCCATCCAGTATTTCCTGTGCAGTGTTGGACGCTCGAGCGTGGGATTGGACGCTCGAGCGAAAATGTGTGAGTGCCGCTCGAGCAAGGAGTTGGTCGCTCGAGCGGGGGCCTGGTTCTGCAAAAGTACTGGGAGTGCGTATTCAACGCTCGAGCGGGAGTTTGGACGCTCGAGCGGGGAGTCGACTACATCAGTCCGAGATTTCACTTTTTGGATCACTTTTTGACATACTTTTCTTTCTTAACTTTTAGAAAACCGCCCCTTGAGAGTCTCTCTGTCTTTCTCTCTCTCTAAACCTGCCTTCTCTTTAAGAATTGATCTACCTAGGGTGAGTATCTAACCTTGGTCCTTTATTAAAAAGATAGAGTGAGTCAAGGGCTTTCATTCAATCTGAACGTATTATTACAAACCATATAAAATAAATAGCTAAACTAATCAACTAATTATTACAATACTTTTAAATTAACTAACTAGTAAGCTAACTAATTAAGTTACAACACAAATGTAAGCAAGCTAAGCAATTAAAATTTCTAACTATGCTGCCACTAATCCACCTCAAGAAATGGAAGATGCATATGCTTAGACGGCACCCGAATTTGAACATTTCTAGAACCATTCTGCTCCACCTTACCAACATTCTGCTGAGATTTGCATCAGTGGCCAGCCGGCCACTGGTAAACACTGCCAGCCTCTTGCCGGCCATGGGAGTGGCCTGCCAGCCATCAATGATGCTCTGTCGGTGATTAATGCACTGGATCACCATGCTGCAACAGAGTACAAACAGAGCAAGAAGAGGAATTTTCCAAGCATTGTCTGCACAATTCACCTCTTATTTTCATGAACAAATCCGAGTCGTGAACGTAAACCACAAACCACCAATCCAAGTAATCTCATTGCATGATGGCTTGTGATTCAAGATATGCATGCTGAATAAATGCACAACAAGACACTCAAGAACCATCACCCTATCATGCATGACCAAGGGCAATGGAGACCTAGGAAATTTGGCACATTTCATCACTTAGAGTATGACATGTCCCAAATTTTCTTATGTTCAATTAACGTCCAATTGAACACACAACACACAAGTTATTAGCTTGTTCAATTTTACTTGCCACTTTTATTTACTTATTTTAATTACCAACCATTACTTAGTCAATTAAGTCCATTGGTGAGAGTTTTCTAAAGTGAAAGAAGTGTCAACCAAGGGGTGGTTTAAGGCATGAGAGAAGCTTCATGCCGTTGGTAATGAACCCTCAGAAGAGAATTAAACGACTAAGCATGGACCTCAATATCTCAAGCTTAAAGAATCCCAAGTTTGAAACTACCCTCAAAACAAATTAAAGAATAAAGAAATGAGGGAGGTTGCAGAGCTTTAGGTGCTGAAATGAAGTGCAAAACAACACCAAAACATGCAATCGACTCAAACAAGAGGTGCCTAATGGCCTAAAACACCATCCTTGTGAGGACCTTTACATTACAACTATATAAAACAAGACTCAATTGATCCAAATAGCCTATAACAGAGCTAAAGCAGTCTAAAACAAAGGCAAAAACATGCTGGAATGTAGCTACAAAAAGCTAAAAATACATGCTAGCACATGGAGTTAACTAGGCTAGCAAACAAGACACAAGGAGGAGAGGCTAACCCCCCAAATTTTGGACTTCAAAACATGTTTTCTGCCACTGAAAATACTCTGAAATTCAGTGGTTAAAAGCCCCAAAAAGATGGTTTGAAAATGGGAAACACAGGTGCAAAAGCCCTAGAAGCAAGGAATAAAGAAAGGTGAGACACCCCCCTAACCTCAAATGGCTTAAAACACCAATTTCAGCCCATTAAAATAGAGTTTTTTATAGCTCAAATATGGCCAAAAAATAGTGGGAAAATATGGAGAAACAAATATACTAAAACAAGTTAAGAGACAAGTGTTATACCTCTTGAAGCCAAGCACAACTTTAGGCACAAATACAAGTCAAAACCACCTTCAAGAGCTCCAACAAGACCTTAAGAGACCTCAGCTCAATGGTGATCAAATTTGGTTAAGGATATGTATGGAAAAGAGTGCTATAACTAGGCAAGTGTGCACAAAATTGCAAGAGAGAGAAATCTGGAGAGAGAGAATTTTTGAGTTTGAAATCTTCTAACCCCAAAATATGAGAGAGGGACTCCCTATATATAGAAAACATGAAATCTATACAAGGAGATCCAGCCCTCCACATGTGGACAGATGCAAGCATCTATGCAAACAGCTGGCACAACTGGCATAAAATATCTGCAGAAAATACTGGTGGCCGGCTGGCCATTAGTGATGGCCGGCAAGGCACATCCATGACCGACAGACCAGAAGCTCTAGCTGACAGCCTTCATAGATGGTCAGTAGGCCACCAAAGACTGCAAAAGAGAAAGACCAAGACATGGTCCAAAAACGAGACAAAAATGGATACAGAGTTTGAAAGGCTTAAACCTGTGGCGTTCCGCTGAGGACTTCGAGCGCTTGGCAAGCAAACAGACTCATCATCGGATGTACCTACAAGAACATCCAAGTCTTTAAGGGCTGTCAAAAATTGGGTGTCTACAAAGAGGCTAAAGAGGATTTCACCGTGTAAGTGAGCTTGGAACTCCCAACCATGTACACTTTATGATTTTGTGTTTTGATTCTCAACCTTGTTCTTGAAAATGGGAAATTGAGTATTGTTTTGGAGTTATGATTTTTGATGGAAGCTAAGGATGTGAAATTTAACATGTGTTAAAGAGTTTTGGGGTTTGATTTACATGAAATTGAAGTTTAATTTTGAAATTGAGGGGTTCCAAGTCAAGTAGCCATTTTCAGACTGATTTTTACCCAGTTTCGCACGTGCTCGGGGATTTCTTGCATGTGTGGCCAATAGTGTCCCCCACAAAGTTACATTCCGAAATAAAAGCACATGCCCCGTACGTGCGGATTTGGTCTCGCATGTGCGGCACTTCCCTATTTCAGCTCAACTTCAAATAAGCATATCTCTCTCATCCGGACTCCATTTTAAGTGATTCTTGAGCCTAAATTCAAGCCCCGAAAGTCTAGTTTCCAATGGTTTGGTCTCATATCCAAATTATAATTACACAAATAGATATCCTCAAATTAGTGAAGGTTGTTCACTTTATGTCTACCGATTTCATGCTAATTCTTTACCTAACCCAGTTTCCTTTCGTTTCCTCCTATTTTTCTAGACACAGATTATGACCTATTGAGGACTAATGGGTTTAGAACCAACATAACTAATTGATTAAAGAGCAAAGAAAGAGATCGGTTATATTCATATGTTGTGTAATGTAATTGTGGTTGTAGGTCAAGACGAGGACATCGTCCAACTGCTATCAGAAGCCCATCACTATGAGTAATAGTATAGTAAAGATATGTTTTTCATTATCTATCTTGATTTATGTATGACACGATTCTCTAAATGTTACATTTTATCAAAATGCACAAGTTTCCAAGAAATGTGAAATAAGTTATGAACAAGAAATGTGAGTTATTTATAATATGATATGGTGGGCCCAAGGCCGTTCCATTTATCTGTTTTGTTTATGTTATGACATGATATGAATTGTTCGGCCTTTAAGACCTATTGATTTTTGGTATGGAACAAAGTGCCGTACGGGACTAAGCGCTACAGTTAGAGTCACCTCTAGAGTCCATACATACATGAATTGGGCCCAAGGAGTGGGGGAGACATGTCGATGTTCCATCTACTCCATGATCAGATACAATGATACGATATGATATGTTTAGACCTAAGGTCGTTTTAATATATGATTAGGCCCAAGGCCGTTTTGATATATGTGGACTTGAGATCGTTCAGAACATATGATATGAATACAAATGTTTTTACCTCGCTATATGACTCATGTTACGATGTGTTATTTTATATGCATGAATGGATGTCCTAAGCTGAAATGTACTTCGTACCACATAGAATGTTTTGTAACAATTTCAAAAATGTATTCCATTTGAAAAAGCATGGATTTTGATATGACAATCGTTTGTTTAAAATTGATTTAAGATACATTTCAGAATTGTGAAATATGTTTTCTTAATGTTAAGGACATCATTCATTAACCTCTTTACTTTAACATTACTCACTGGGCATTAGCTCACCCTTTTATTTTACATATATGTAGGTGAGCCATCGGGGATCAACACTAGAGTTGTATCAAGGTCCGCCTCTCTGTCAAGCCACCCAAAGAGTGTCTCCGTGTAGAGACATAGTATAATTTACCAAGCTTAGGTTTGTTCAGGCATGAATGGATCTCACACACGTGTCCATTGAGCATTAGTGTGTCTAGAATGCATTTAAGTTGCATGTATTTCATAACAAGGTGATATGTTGCGTGTTTTGGAAGATGTATGTGAGCTTGTGTAATAAGTTAAGTATTGAGATTGTGAATTAGAAGTCCTCAAGGAATTTTGGCGACAAGAGGAGATCAAGATGTGTTTGTTTTTGTTAGCTTAAGTGTTGAGACTAAGGATTGAAAGTCATTTGACAATTTGATAATTATAAGGAAATGAGAATGTGTTTGCTTAATAAATATGGTATTTGATTAGAACGGTGGTGAGTATAAACATACTGATTCGTGGAAGTATGATAGAATAAGAGATTTCGATGATTCGAGGAAATATGATAGAATAAGAGACTTCGATCTTCGCTTGAAGCTATGAAATTATATGGGTAGCATGTTAAATTAGACTATGAGAATATGTGGGAGATTGAGCGATTTGATGACTAATGAAGTATGTGGGACTAGTGATTGAAATATTTGGTGATCTATAAAGCGTATAGAATTCTAGTGATTGAGAGGTAGAAAATTGTTTAATATGCATAAGGTTAGTTTTGTGAAAGACATAATGTATGAGCCATAGAATCAAAGAATGTGTTAGGAAGTTTGTGGTAAGAAAGATCAATGAACATAGATTTAATGAATGCAAGAAGTGTTAAGTCGAAATTAGTGTTGCTATATATGCTCGAATGATTATTATAGAGTTCGAATTCTCTTGTATGGGTAATTAAAATTTGAGCTGAAATGCTAAGATAATTAGAATAGGGACATTTCGATGTGTTAAGACCGTTACTTCAAGTGTTTAAGCTTATTGCAAGCAAATTGTTCGTATGATTAGTCGGGCCTATTCGTTTGTCGAAATCATTTCGTTATAACCCGAATGGATGTTTGAGATTAAGATTATATATTAAGAATTTCTTTGTTACCTGAAGGATCTACTTTATTGGAAATGTTGTACAATGGATCTGATTTAATGTCCACCTTATAGATTCTTAGAATGTGTGATTAGTAAATGTCGTTAACATGCCGAAGCAAGTTATTTGTGGCTTCTGAATGTAAATGACCCTTCTATTTGAGTTATCAATAAGGCGCGTAAGTTGTATGGCAACAAATATTCGGGTTAATGTGGCTAAGGAACTTGTGAACCAAGATTTGATTTTGATATTAAGGCTATATTACATGCTCAGCCTACGTTGAAGGCTCATGAATGTCAATAATAGGATATTTTGTGAATTATTTGGAGATAGGTGTGGATAGTAAAACAAGAAGATATGAGTGTTATGAACAACGTGTTTTGTGTTTTGATGTTATGTTTTGTATTTTGATGCTAGCTAGGAAGTCGACAATGAGACCCATCATTACATTGCTCATTTCAGAATAAATTTTGGTGACTTAACCAATTTGGGTTAATAAATAAATGATATTGAGTTAAACCCCTATGATGAGAAAATCAAATGGTAAGGAAGTCAGGTATGGAATGAGACTGAGTTGGTGAATTATTTGAATTACAAGTGGCATATGTTTGGAGGACCAAACTTCCTAAAAGGGGAAAGAATGTAACAACCTCATCGCGTAATACTTTATATTTAATTAATGAAGCAGGTTTGAATTTTATGGCCTACTATTATAATTTAATTTGGGAATTATGAAAATTATGGAGACTGATTTGTATACGATTTTATTGGAGATTTATTTTGGAATTAGAACTTGAAAGCCTAAGTGGTTCAAGAAAGAATAATTAATGAGTTGCCTACTTTTAATTTCGAGTATTGGACCATAGGTAGTTTAATTAAATATTCGATTCAAATTTGTAAAATTGAGATTTGATTAATTGGGTCCGAAGTGAAGTTAATTACGTTGTGAGGAGTGGGAATTAAGGTTATTGTGTATTAAATTTATTTATAAGGTATTTAATCTGGGTATATAATTCATTACCGGAGACCTTGAACTGACCTAAAATTGAGGGTCTTACTGATGTGAGAAATCACAATTGATAATGAGAATAGGCTTCATTTCATATTTAGAAGCTTTTCGACAGCGCCTGGAGCTGTCCATGCGATATGTTCTCCAATACGACGCCGTTCTGCAGGTTCTTGCCCTCCCTACACTGAATCGCCTTCTCCAGGGCCACAATCGCAAGCACAGAGGAGTGGGGGCGATTGATTGTGTGCTTGATCATGGGTGGGAAGTGGGAGATTCGAACCCCGCCATCCGATAAGACCTCACTCTCGCGGGAAATCGGAGCCGAATCGGTGGGACCCGATTAAGGGTCTCCTTCGAATTCGGGTTGTTGTTGTTGGTTGAGGTCGTCGTCGTCTTCGTTTTCTTCGTCATCATCGTCGAGGTCGTCGTCTTGGGGATTGGGTCGTCGAGTGATTTGGGGGTCTCTCTTTCGCTTCTTCTTCCTCCACTTGGTGCGAGTCTCTGTGGAAATGGGAAAGTAGAGAGAGAGAGAGAGAGATGAATTTTGAAAATTGAGTAGGAGAGAGAGTGAAAAAGTTAGGTTATTGGGGTTTGTTTACCTGAGGAGGAAGCTGGCATTGCTGAAAGAGAAAGAGGTGGAGTGAGGGAGAGCGACCGAGAAGGGGGGGTGGTTTATGCAGAGATTTGTGGGGTCTGCGATTTGTCGCTGTCGTTGTTTGAACTTGAAGTATCGATGCTACTACAGAGCTACAGAGAGAGAGAGAGAGGAAGCTCTGCCTCTGATTTTGTAGCCCTTCTATGCTCAGACGATTAATGTTGGAAGCATTATAGCATCTCCATTTTTTTTAATTAAATTTAAATTTAAATACAAATTATCTCCAATGCCTCTGCATACAGGTTTTCCTCAGCATTATCTTTTCAATTATAACAATAATAAAATGCCATTTGAAAACTTAACTGATCTTTTACATCATTTTTAAAAAACTATTAAAATTGGAATGAATGCTATAAATAAATAAAAAAAATTAAACTAATTTGAACACTAAAAATCAAAATTATATTTTCAAAATTTAAAAAATTATTTATGACCTCCTAAAAAATAAAATTATACAAAATAATAAGTATTTTTTTATTTTTTTCACCAATTTTTTTTTTTAGTTTTTTAGGAAAAAAAATTCTAAAATAGGTTTCTGAAAATAAAACCAAACATATTGAAATTGAAAATTTAACTAGATTCTTTGAAAAAGTTTAAATTATCTCAAATTAGCCATCTAAACTTAAGAGTGTTTTCGGGCTTGATGGATTCATTTTGTGATATAATTCGATGATCACTTTAATTTTACAATTCAATAATTAGAAAATTTAAAAAAATTTGAAAAATTATAATAAAAATACAAATAACTAAATCACCTCATTTCACTACCAAAACTTTTATCGACGAATAGTATTATCGTCGCTAAATGTTTAACTCTTTGCCCATGCCAACTTGTCATCGCCAAAAGTAAGCACATTAATAGCGACGCTTATTACGTTGCTAAAAAATAAGACTCGTAGCTAAAATTTATGAAATTTTGGCGCCAACCAATATTTTTGGCGCCTAGTCAATGTTATGCCTTTTTAGCGACGATAGTAAATTGCGTTGGTAAAGGTCTACTTTTCCCAACGAAATTGATCACTGTGTCGCCAAAAATATACTTTTGCCTACGAAAAATTGACGCTGTCGCCAAAAGTAGTCGCCAAAAGTGCAATTTCTTGTAGTGTATGACATTATGGTGTTTACTTGCCATTTCTCATGCATTAGGGCTTAAACACTCGGACACTTATTCGGACCCTCTTGCATGATGGCAGATACGTAATTATGGTGTTTACTTGCCATTTCTCATGCATTAGGGTTTCAACACTCGGACACTTATTCGGACCCTCTTGCATGATAGCAGATATGTAATTATGGTGTTCACTTGCCAATTCTCATGCATTGGGATTTAAACACTCGGCACTTATTCGGACCCTCGTGCATGATGGCAGATATGTAATTATTGTATTTATTAGCCATTTCTCATGCATTAGGGTTTAAATAATCGGACACTTATTTGGACCCTCTTGCATGATGGCAGATATGTAATTATGGTGTTCACTTGTCATTTCTCATGCATTAGGGCTTAAACACTCAGACACTTATTCGGACCCTTCTACATGACGGCAGATATGTAATTATGGTGTTTATTTTCCATTTCTCATGCATTACGGTATAAACACTCGGACACTTATTCGGACCCTCTTGCATGATGGCAGATATGTAATTAGGGTGTTTAGTTGCCGTTTCTCATGCATTAGGGTTTCAACACTCGGACACTTATTCGGACCCTCTTGCATGATGGCGGATTTGTAATTATGATCTTCTGTTGCCATTTCTCATGCATTAGGGTTTAAACGCTCGGACACTTATACGGACCCTCTTGCATGATGGCAGATATGTAATTAGGGTGTTTACTTGCTGTTTCTCATGCATTAGGGTTTCAACACTCGGACACTTATTCGGACCCTCTTGCATGATGGCAGATTTGTAATTATGGTGTTCAGTTGCCATTTCTCATGCATTAGGGTTTAAATACTCGGACATTTATTCGGACCCTCTAGCATGATGGCAGATATGTAATTATGGTGTTTATTTGCCAATTCTCACGCATTAGGGCTTAAACACTCGGACACTTATTCAGACCCTCTTGCATGATGGCAGATATGTAATTATGGTGTTTATTTGCCATTTCTCATGCATTAGGGTTTCAACACTCGGATAATTATTCGGACGCTCTTGCATGATGGTAGATATGTAATTATGGTGTTTACTTTCCATTTCTCATGCATTACGGTTTATAAACTCGGACATTTATTCGGACCCTCATGCAAGATGGCAGATATGTAATTATTGTATTTATTTGCCATTTCTCATGCATTAGGTTTTAAATAATCGGACACGATTTGGACCCTCTTGCATGATGGCAGATATGTAATTATGGTGTTCACTTGCCATTTCTCATGTATTAGGGCTTAAACACTCAGACACTTATTCGGACCCTCCTGCATGATGGCAGATATGTAATTATGGTGTTTATTTGCCATTTCTCACGCATTAGGGTTTAAACACTCGGACACTTATTCGGACCCTCTTGCATGATGGCAGATATGTAATTATGGTGTTTAGTTGCCATTTCTCATGCGTTAGGGTTTAAACACGCGGACACTTATTCGGACCCACTTGATTGATGGCAGATATGTAATTATGGTGTTTATTTGCCATTTCGCATGCATTAGGGTTTGAACACTCAGACACTTATTCGGACCCTCTTGCATGATGGCAGCTTTGTAGTTATGGTGTTTACTTGCCATTTCTTGAGTATTAGGATTCAAAAATTTGGTCACTTAATCGGATCCTCTTGAGTGATGGAAGATATGTAAGTATGGTGTTTATTTGCCATTTGTCAAGCATTAGGGGTTCAACACTCGGACACTTGTTCGGACCCTCTTGCATGATGGCAAATATGTAATTATGGTGTTTACTTGCCATTTCTCATACATTAGGGTTTAAACACACGGACACTTATTCAGACCCTCTTGCGTGATGGCAGATATGTAATTATGGTATTTATTTTCCATTTCTCATGCATTAAGGTTTAAATACTCAGACACTTATTCGAACCCCTTGCATGACGGCAGATATGTAATTATGGTGTTTATTTTCCATTTCTCATGCATTACGGTATAAACACTCGGACACTTATTCGGACCCTCTTGCATGATGATAGATATGTAATTACGGTGTTTACTTTCCATTTCTCATGAATTAGGGTTTAAACCCTCGGACACTTCTTCGGACCCTCTTGCATGATGATAGATATGTAATTACGGTGTTTACTTTCCATTTCTCATGAATTAGGGTTTAAACCCTCGGACACTTCTTCGGACCCTCTTGCATGATGATAGATATGTAATTACGGTGTTTACTTTCCATTTCTCATGAATTAGGGTTTAAACCCTCGGACACTTCTTCGGACCCTCTTGCATGATGATAGATATGTAATTACGGTGTTTACTTTCCATTTCTCATGAATTAGGGTTTAAACCCTCGGACACTTCTTCGGACCCTCTTGCATGATGATAGATATGTAATTACGGTGTTTACTTTCCATTTCTCATGAATTAGGGTTTAAACCCTCGGACACTTCTTCGGACCCTCTTGCATGATGATAGATATGTAATTACGGTGTTTACTTTCCATTTCTCATGAATTAGGGTTTAAACCCTCGGACACTTCTTCGGACCCTCTTGCATGATGATAGATATGTAATTACGGTGTTTACTTTCCATTTCTCATGAATTAGGGTTTAAACCCTCGGACACTTCTTCGGACCCTCTTGCATGATGATAGATATGTAATTACGGTGTTTACTTTCCATTTCTCATGAATTAGGGTTTAAACCCTCGGACACTTCTTCGGACCCTCTTGCATGATGATAGATATGTAATTACGGTGTTTACTTTCCATTTCTCATGAATTAGGGTTTAAACCCTCGGACACTTCTTCGGACCCTCTTGCATGATGATAGATATGTAATTACGGTGTTTACTTTCCATTTCTCATGAATTAGGGTTTAAACCCTCGGACACTTCTTCGGACCCTCTTGCATGATGGCAGATATGTAATTATGGTGTTTATTTGCCATTT